AGGTCAGCATGTGGATTCCCTGTCCGTGGGTCAGTTACAACCCAATGGCAGCAAGGTGCGGCGTACTTAATTTGAACAAGGGGAAAATGAGGGCGGGGGCGTTGATAATAAAGGTGGGGAGGGGGAAGGGCTAGGGTCGCCAGGCAGGTGCATTGTAATGCAGGTTTCGATGTTCAACAAAAGGGCCACCTTGTTGTTGCTTCCTGGTACTGCAGCTGACAAGCAAACTGACGGGAGGACAGGTCGTGCAGGCCACCCCCACCCACTGACCTTCCGCCCCGCTCATGTGTGTGGGCGTGGTCAGCATTAACATGCTTAATGACAGGGATGCAGCGAAAAAGCTTCTGAAAAGAGTACAACGAGAGTACACCAATAATAAATACTTCACCATTTTTATAATTAATTTAAAACACAATATTTTAGACTATTTGATTTCTTATAAACGATAGATAGGATTTTAAAAAAGGCATTGAATTAATGGTTCATGTAAATAGCAATTGCAATGCTCAAAAAGCTATCGAAACATTTATGTTATATTCTGACAAATAATAATTAATTTTGCATTAGAAAATCAGGAACTTTTTATTTGATCTCAGAAATATACAGAGCCATAGACTTGGCAATCCGCTAGGAAAGTCCAATAACAACGAGTGATATTCCGACCAAAGGGTTTAAACATGAAACATCATGTTGAAGATGAGATCGTTAAGATAATTTAAAGTCACTTAAATGTAATTTCCACCATTGCAACAACGGAACAACTCTCTGCAAGCGTTAAGAGCACAGCGGAAATGGCCAAAAGTATAAGCGAATATACATATGTAAAATATATTTCCCCCTCATGGGTAATATGGCCAACAAACGATTCAAGGCCCCCCAAAGATCAGAGGTGGGACTGTTAAGGGTTGCCACCGTTCAGTCGGTTTATCATTTATAATTCATTCGCCGTTGGCCTTAAAGGACTTTAAGCTGCCTTTTTCGCAGCACACTCGGCTTGTTGGATTTTACGAGAGTGGCTGTTGCTGTTGAATGAAAAATAAGGCACCTGGGAAATTTGCGTAAATGCTGAGTCAGGTACAACATAAATAAGGTTAAAATCATGTATAAAGAAAATTACACGTGGCTGTTGAAGTTGTGGGAAACGGTTTAATTAAAATATAAATGCTCAAACATGGTGAAAATGGTTATTAAAAAGAAAGTTTGCAATCCTGTATCTAAGAATTTTTATTGAAATGTGTGCTTAAAGCCATCGCAGTTTGGCCATTTAATTTATGCCACACAAGTTTTCATTTTCGGGGGCAATATTTATGGTCGAAAGCCATAATAGCTGCCAAATGCATATTAACCGCACCAAACTCGGCCACCAACTGAGCCACACATTTGCACCGCAGACACCACATCGCGATAGAGACGGCAATAGCCGGTTAGAAAGAGACAAGAACACAGAGAACACAGAGATTGCAACCGAAGCCGGGAAAAATATGTGCATTCATAATAAAAATTTATGAGCCCAGCCTCAAAAGAAAACTTTCCAGAAGTTGTATGCGAAAAGAGGAGCAATAAGAAAAGCGGCAGACAGAGAAAGAAAACAGGAAATAGAAAGAGACAGACAGACAGGCAGAAGTTGTTGCAAATAGCTTCGTAAAAACATAAACTTCATTGCCATTATAAAGTTCAACAAATACGATTTATATGCAACAAAACGCATCAAGGTAACAATCCACAGAAAGAGACTGCTAGCTGGCAAGAGAAAGAGAGGGCAAGCTCTATGCGATGAGTAAACAACAATTACCCGATTGAACCAAAACATTTTTGCGAGTGCTTATCGTATGCGCATTTTCCAGCACCAAAAACTTTTCAATGAAAAACTTTTCTTTCCGCTTTTGAGTTTGAATCGGTTTTTATTTGGTTCTTCTATGCAAATAAATTTGAATATAATTCAGCTCGTCACACGTGGCGTATGCGCAATTTGACACGAACACCCCAAAAGTATGCAGCGCGAAATGGGGAAGAAAATTCATTTCAAACATTTTTCAAATCACTTCAAACTGGAATTTTCATTTTTCTTGCACTTTTCTCCCCTGTGTTCGCCTAGTCAATTTTGCATGCGGCTAATAAATAAAAGCATTCAACTTTGATATGGTATCAAGGATACTTGTTCTGCTCCAATTTACGATACTACACTGGGAGAAACTAAAGACTAAAAAACTAAAAATTATGATTAGACTATAATTATTAATTATTATACTTATAATTATGTCCATTTAAAATACACATAGTAATTTTCTGAAAATGTTTCTTTAAATTCCTATACTGATTACTTAGCATAAACATTTGGGATATTTTGAAGAAGAGTAAGAAAATTTCCAAAAATTATGCAATTGGAGTTATAAAAGACGAATTATTTCTTCTTTAGCTTTTGATTGATTTAGTTTTAATACTTTTCTGGTTTAGCTGTTCAATGGTTACACGATCCTTAGAACTTTCTCCGTGCACCCATTTCGCCTCCGCTCCTTCCATCAAAATGCCACTCGACTGTGGAATGGAATATGACAAACAGCAGCAGACGGAGCAAGCCAGACAGGAATGGCCTGGGAATCGGGGGGATACCCCACAGAGGCTGCAATATTTCAGCACTCAACTCGACAGCCAGCTGTCTACAGGAGGAGAAACACGAGGGAAGGGGAAAACAGAAGAGCAGAAGCTCTCCTCGAGGGGCGTTTGAGTTTTTAATAAGCAGCCAGCGCGGCGTCAAATGCCAGAAGTTTGATGAAAGTGAAGGCAGCTTGGCGGGTATCCCCTTTCTCCATATCTCCTTTCTGGCTGCCATTGCAGTTTTCAAAATTGAATAAAGTTGACAAACGAGGAGAGACCCGAAAGGTGATAAATTCTCAGCCAACGTCACAGACTGAAGTGTCGTCAACAGTTGGGCGGAAAAACGGGAAAGTCTAGGGAAGCTGGGAAAAACACAAATTTAATTGCAATGCGCCAAGCTATGAAAGTATACGGGTCAAGCTAAATCATTTTTGCAAGTGCCATTTGCAAAATGAGATAAAAATTCGGACGCCTTTTGCTATTTCATTTCGGATTGGGTTGCTGCTTCTAAGAGATTTTTTAGGGGATTAATTTTCCTAATTTTCTTACTAGCTACCGAATTTTAGAAACTTTACATTACTGATTAAAATAAACGAGACCCACCAATAAATATATCAAAAAAGTTACCAAAATGTAGTCTTTTTAAAAAGCAGATAATATAGCTTTGTTAAAAAAACTGGCATTTAAGAAAATTTCAGTACGTAATATCTGCAATTTCTTTGAGCGGAAAGCCTCCATTTTCTTTACGTAGGAATGTACCAAAAGCATTTCAATCAAGTTGCATTAACGTTTATTGCTGTCCATTGAGCAGATGTGAATCTGAACCTACCTGGCCGTAAATCAAAGGCCAAGTGGCCATAGTTTAAGGCATTAGCGCCACATTCTTGACAGGCTTTCCACCGCCTCTCCTGAAGTCCATCTTGCCCTCCTTAAGCTATCGGAAAACAACTACAATGGGGGACCCATTCATAAGCCTCAAGGTTAAACCGCTAAAAATCATTGACCAACATCAAAGAGCCATTGTTTTCGACCAAAAGCAAATGGACCAGAAATGCTAAGCCCCCAAATGAAAATGAGAATGGGCCTGGGACAATACAATACGACGCACAAATGCCAGAGTCGAAGATTTATGCCAATTGCTCTTGAGCACCTTGTACCAAACACACATACATATATATGCATGTGTAGTATAGATATCCTCAATGTGTGACTAATGAACAGGCCCTCGGACTCCGGACTCCAGAACGTTGGCCTTTTATTTAGCCATTTGGCCCACCCACATTTACACAATTTACGATTTTTCGCTCTTACCAACACTGCCTATATATCGTTGGATATTTATATATGTTTCTTTGTATGTGCAAGAGCTATGGCCGCAGCCAGCTCATTAATTTCGCTTAACTTCACAAATTGCCAATTGTGCGCATTGGTCAACATTTTTACTTCATTCCGTCTCGCTTCCAATTCGTGGTTGACTGGGCCCGGCTTTTTGGTTCTGGTTCTGGCTCTGACTTTGGACCAGGTTGATTTCCTTTTTCCCCGAGCATCACTATATGTCCATGTCTGACAATTTCTTCTCTATTGTTCTCGCAGTCGTATTTATTGCCTTGAATGCCAATTTGTTTCATGTGCCCATTGTTCTGCACTTTTGGGTCAAGGTAGTGCGATTTGGTAATGGAGTTGGAAAATATTAATTTTGAAAGTAAAGAAATGTAGGTATACAAACTATTTAGTATATAATAGTCTTTTTTTTTGGCTGGTTCGAAAGAAAAGCGGTAAATTTATTGTATTTAAATTAATTTTATTAATTAATAATAAAAATTCAAAAGCGAATGAGCCTTAAAAATACTATTTCTATACAAGTCAGGAATTTAAAATTAATAAAAGTTAAATTTGAAAAGTATATAAATATTTTTAAATCCAAGAACTCATAAAACCTATAGGTTTACCATATAGGGTATTTTACCGTCATCCTGCCATTTATTCCATGTTTTTGTTTCATTCATTCCTGTTGCTGTTAATATTGCTGTAGCTTTCTGTGCCGTCTGCGTGCACATGAATTCTTAGTTTATGAACTTCAGCTGGCCCCACATTTTGTTTACGGTACCAACTTCTCGTTAACGTTACACTGGCATGTTACCTCAATCTGTGTTTGCCTCCCCTTCCACTATTTTCTGCCTTCCATGGACAATAAAAATGGTGACAAATTGTCATCACACGGCACAAATGGGGGCTTTATTAATGTGAGCGACTTTTATGGCTGTGGCACCGGTGGCGTATGCGTAATGCCTGAGTGATGATATGGGGGTTAGACAAAAAGGGGGAATGGGCAGAAAAATGAAAACAAAACAAAACCATCAATTAGCATAACTAAATCCAGGCCCAACCTTGTTTTTCCTTTCCAGGATGTGGAGAACATTTACGCACGCAACTATATAGCCGGAAAGGTAACCCCGAAGAAGGAGGAGCAGTTGGGAAGCCCCGAGGCGGCGATCAGAGCGAGACGTCTGCACGCTCAAAAGCAGAAAAGTGAGAGAGGTAAGATAGTCCTTACAGTTGAGATAAAAACATCAAAAGATAACTGAATTCATTCCCTTCTTAGCCCTTGCCCACGCCCACATGAACCAGGTGCTGAAGGAGGCCACCTGCCGAATTCCCCAAAAACGCTGTCAGCTGGTCCAGCAGGATCCCTCGAAGATCTACACGCCCCACTGCACCATTCTGCATCGCTGCAGCGAGGACAGTGGTTGTTGTCCGAGCAGAAGCCAAATATGTGCCGCCAAGAGCACCCACAACGTTGAGCTGCATTTCTTCGTGAGTACAAAAAAATTTAGAAAAATATTTTCAACAGGTTTATATGGCTGGGGTTCTATCTAAAATAGAACTGTTCACTTTTAGCTCAATTAATCTAAAACTTAAAAAAATTACGTGACTTTAATTACTTAAGCTTACTCAATCAAATATCAGAGACAAATTCTTTTTGCATTTTACTTTTTGAATATTTTAACAAAGTCAAAGAAATTAGAAAATGTTAACTTATCGATATAGTCCAAAAGGTTTAAAAACAGCTGATCCCTGTATTAAAATATTATTAAAAAATTTGGGTATTTAACGAATATTAAAAAAAATCATATTGCAACAATTTGTTTAACCTTTAAGCCACGGAGAACAATTTATTAAATGAGAAATTTTTGTTTATAATTATTCTGCAAATTAAAATCTTTTCCTGCATCTCTTTCCATTTAATACTTTCAAGTACGAAGCACTTTTTATATAAGCATTCATTGACTCCCTTTATTGGGCCACGCCCTTCTCCCCCAGTAAATAAATTTCATTCAAATGTTGCGCTTGGGTGCAGCAAAAGCAGCAACAATAATAAATGAAAAGCGATTTTCATTCTGACATGAACGCATTCATTGTGTTTTGGGCTTAAGTTTTTTTTTGAAAGCTAGCGTGTGTGCTTTGCTCGCGTTTTGTGACTTTTAAGTACCGATTCTCTGTCTCTCTTCTTCTGAGTCTCGCCGTCTCTCTCTTGGGATCCTACCTTCCACGGTAATTGACGTTGTTGTTTTTATTTTTGTTTGTTGCTGTGGGCGTAGGTCATGCTTGAGGGCGCCATATTGCAACATAATTATATCGTTTCACCTTTATTTTCATTTAATTTTTTTTTCGTAGTACTTCTTTTTCCACCGTGAGCTTTCGGCTGAAATGACTTTTTAATGACGCAATGATAATTCAATTTGTTTGGTGATTTATGCCTCATGATATGATTATTGTTGTTCGTTGTTGCTGCCGTTGCCGTCATTGTTCTGGCTGTCTTTTTGTTACGTAACGAGCTTTCAATACATGTTGAAATCGAGAATGTAATTAAGCATTTGTGCTTTGCTCTCGGGGCGGAAAACGCATTTTGCTTCATTTTAATATGCTACAGATTGGATTGTTGGCGATGTGATAGATGGATGCCAATTAAAGAAAAAAAGTTGTGGATTCGTTTAATATAATTGGGCTTGGTGAACATGAGTATAAAAGTTAAAGCTTGTAGGATTATTTAAAAATTAATCGTGACCCAGGTAACCAAATTATAATTCAATTTTAGTAATTTATTAGGTTTGTTTAATAAAAGAGCAAAGCAAACTTTTTTTCATAGATACTATAAATAACTGCTCAGACTTTAGAAATTCTAAAGAAAATTCCAATGCTTTCAGAGGGCTTCGAACTCCCCTGGCAGTTAACTTAATCTTTTTTCTTTGTAATTTGTTTTTGCCGATCCTGTTAGTTTCGCCAGTATATGCTTAGTTTCCCATTATAAGTGACTTTGTAGGGGCTGATTTTCCTCCTCCTTTTCTTTTCTTACGGAACTTTCATAAATTTCACTCTTACTGCTGCGTTTTTGCATCTGCAACTTTTTTATTAGGGGCCTTCGAGGCCGTAACTCCGAGCTCCGAGGATGGCTTTTAATTTTCAAATATTTATGCTGCGCTTGCCGCAAAAAGTTTCCACTTGCTAGATTTATGTTCACACACTCTTAGACAGAAGAGGGCCCAAAGTCTTGGGGCAGACAGAACCGCAAAATGCTTAAGAACAGGGCAAACACGCCCACACATGAACGCACTTCGTATAGGAAAAGGGCGGCGCAGGAGTCAAGTTAACTCGCCCCACTTAATTATCCAATAAAACTTGGGAGCAAAACCACACAAATTATTGTAGGGCAATTTAACATTTTCGGCACTCGAGCAAAAACCCCTGAGATTCTCTTGATAGATAAGCCAAAAGAAGGAGGCATTTTGAATTAATGGGAAAGTTACGAGGGACAAGATTAGCCCGAAAATATGTTGTGAGAGACCTTGCCAATAGAGCATCATGATTAGACATCGGATTTTAGGTGAAATCGTTTTTTTTAGATACGATTTAAAGCCACATTTGATTGGTTACAATTTTTTTTACAAAAACCTCAATTAATTTTGGCCTAAATCTAATTATATCTTAATAAATAAAATTTGTAACCAATCAAATGTGGCTTTAAATCGTATTTAAAAAAAACAATTTCACCTAAAATCCGATGTCTAATCATGATATATGAGTTTTCATATATTCAGCAGATAAACTAGTTTATGGGTGAATTAAATATGTGATTATAAAGTTAACTGGCTTTCCTATGAAGGATTTCAGATACCTCCCCCGATTAGGGTAATTTTTGAATTTATATTTATGTACGTAAGATTTCTCTCGTTAGAGTTGGACATATTACTATTACAGAACACATGAAATCACCACCTTGTAACCGTCTTAAGGACATTCATTTGCCTAAATTGTGGACGTAGTAAGCCGGCTTTAAAGCCAGTTTTAATATGCAAATAGTTTCTGGGAAATCCCCAAAATAAACTTGTTCCTTTTTGGCATGAGCAAACTTCATGACAAGCTCAGTGGAATCGGCTGGCAGCAAAGTGTATGGCCCCAAGGCACTCCTATGTCCATCGTTGTTGGCTTTTTCCTCCATTTTCGCACACTTTTCCCCCCTCTTTACTTGGACCATCATTCAAAAATGGAACAAAAAATATTTCTAGCCAGGGAAAGAGCAGGAAACTGAAGCTGAAGCTATGTGTCCAAAGCTGTTGGTAGTTCTAAAGCTTAAAAACACACACATGCAAAAAAAATACCAGCCACTAAAGGCGAAAAAGAAGCTAAACAGGATGAAGAAGCAGGGCAGTCTGCAGAAAAGGAAGCATGAGGAGAATCCGCCAGGAGGGAGCAACTCAGCGGTTTGTCATTGAGAGGTGTCAAGTGGCAGGCAAACACACATAGCTGGGGAGCTGAAAAGGAGGTGCTGCACTGAGAGAAAACACAACAGTGTTCGAAGTTGGGAAATAATTTTATTAAATTTAACACATTTTGTTTTAGTTTGAAATAATATTCAAATTATATTATTTACTTTGAAAGATATTATTCATTACTGAATATAATCAGTATAATTTTAGATACCAGCAATTGGAAATTAAACTACATTAAATTAAAGTTATTATATAAAAAACATTTCTGCAAAGAAGCAGTTTAAAAATGTAATAGTGTGTTTAGACTGGGCGAATCATTGACATGCGACGCAAAGTAGAATGTTCTGATTTTTTTCCATAGGAACCCTGTGGATAGAAGAAGAGAAAATTTTCTCGAATGCTTGACGAAGGTTCGAAAATTTACTAGAAAATGTTAAGGAATACAAAAGTAACGCCCGACTTTTATGTCATTTTTCTTCAAATTCGTGTGATTTAAGGCCGCATCTATAATGTAAACGCCTTGCATCATTTTTGAATATTTGAAAATGATTCTAGTAGTCTAAACACACTATTATACTTTTCTTCTCTGTGTAGAAAAAGGTTTAAGTGGGTGGGGTGTAGGAGGGCTAAGGAGCGATAACCAGGCTGAGGATGCAACCAACAACAGCAGCACGATAAAAAGCGTAAACATTTTAACAAAACATAATTTATGTTGCGCAAATTTTTGCATTTGGTGGAAGGTTTGTGGATGCGAAGGGTGCGGTGGCAAGGGTTATTCTGCATTGTGGCAGTCTGCAAAGGGCAATGGCCTCCTCCCCTCTGACCCTCTGTCCCTCTGTCCCCTTCATCCAACACACCATAACAAACTTCAGCACATGTTGTAAGAGCTGTGAGATTTATGAGGCGGTCTCCGCTCCTTTATTCGCCTCCTGAATTCTCTTTTTCGGGTTCAATGCCCTCCACTTTCACCCAAGTCAGAAAAGGAGCGTGGAGAGGGGCTGGCAGAAGAGTCGGGGGCTGGAAAAGCCAAGGCAGAAATCAAAGGCCTCCTAAACGTGAAAGCCAACGCCCACGAGCAGCAATAATAAAAACACACACACACACCAGGCAAAACTTTTGCTTGTTTAGCAAACCGAAGCCAAAGTAAAAGTCAATTGGCTGACAGGCAAATGGCTAACTCCATGGCCAACTCCTCATCTAAATACCCAGCATCTAGGTCCTCAATACGCCAAAAAAAATGGGCCAAAAATGGGAAGAAGTCTGCTATTACATTTTTCATATTCTAACAAAGATTATTGGTAACAAGAATTCTTATTTAGTTATTAAAACAATTTTTTTTATAGGATTTATTATTAAATTTAAATTAAATGGATTTGAATCTTGAATATTCTGTAATTTTTAAAAATATATGGGTCAAAGTTAATTTTTTATTGGCAGTTTAAGTAAAATACTAAAATGTCAATATTCCAAAAATGTTTTTTCTCGGTGCACATACATCCATATACCAAGCTGAACTGAACTTCGGTGATTTAATTAATTTGCCACAAAATGTGGCCAGCTCAAGGCGTGTGTATAATAGGCTTGGGATGAGTTAAACAAACGGGAAAAGCTTGGTAAGGGGTAAGAAAGGAGGTTTTCAAAACAGTATGAAAGTTTTGGAGGGAAAAGAGTGAAGTCACCCACCTTCGTGACACTTCCTTTGCCAGTTTTCGAACTGCGTAATGCAATTTTGCCAAGCTCAAATCCACGGACCACACTGCGGGGCTTTCACGTGTGCACAGAGGGGATTCTGGGTGAAATGGCGGTGGAAAATGCAAATTGCGAGCACGTAAACAGGTGGGAACAGGTGCAAGAGGAAGGCAGTAGCCCAAGGTGCAGTTAAGGAAAAGCTTCTCTAATGCCACGCTGATGTGAGCGTCATGAAATGGATGAAAAATGGTCAAAACATATGGTCACCACCTAAAGGGACTCGAAAAAGATGTAACTTATTTCTTTAAAATATTTCTTAAGATATGTTTCACTAAATACATTGGTATAAGTAAAACAGAATATTTCTATGTAGCTTAGTATTTCAATCAAAGATTTTATTTAGGTACTGACACCTTATTTACATCTCACAAATCTTTTTGACATGTTCTTAAAATAATATTTTCCTTGTTCAACTGTCTCTGCATCATCAATTCTTCCGAAACACCACCCCATCCACAAAATAACATCCTTTGGATGTATTCTTAGTTGCCAAAACTTTATCAGCAACGTTGATGACAGTTGCAAGTTTTGCATTCTTGGATTTATGCAAAACTAACATGATGGGATGGAGTGAAGTTGATATAAGGAATGCCATGGGCTGGTGAAACTATATAAAGTCATTACAAATTTCCTAAAGTTTATAAATTTAGCAACTTATATTACAAAGTTCAGATGGAATGGACACTGTTTTGAAACCAACATTTTTTTATTGAAGGTAAAACAATTTTTAAAGCGATTAAATAATTTAATTGGAAATATTTTAAAGCCAAGAACTTAATTCGTTACGTGGTCTATAGTTTTCATTTAGCTACATCCTAAATTCCGGTTCACAGAGTAAGTGGATAGGCACTCAAAAATCGGTTTGCACAGAAGAATTATGAATTCAAGTGAATATTTAAAAAAAAATTTAGACAAACATTAATTTTAAATTCCTCCCCAAAAGTAGGCAAACACTAGGTCTTATCAAATACTCAACCTGGCCTTCTTTTTGTCTCGATTGGGTTTTTGGCCTATTCCATTGTATCAAGTCCAAGCAACTGCTCCGAAAAGCCTCTTAAAATGCTAGATATTTTTAGGAAAAACATTTTGTGCTTACACGCCACTGAGTTAGTTTAAACGCACCTTTCCCCTACCACCCACTCGGAAAATCCCTGGCAAACCGAGCAATAACTGACTAATTGCTCGGGTCACACACATGGACAATAACGGACACACACGCACATTCTCGAGAGAAATGGAGAGCAGTAAAAAAGAGGTTTATGAATGCATTTTCATGCATAAAGGCCCAACCTCAATTAGGGAGGCCATCTTGGAAAGTAAACCACCCAACAACTAAACCCTTCCAAGGCACTTATAAACAATATTGTTTTACATCACAATGCACTTTAATAAAAATATTTTTAAATAATATACTTTTTACAAAAAGGTCAGATAGATTATTTTCAAGAAGTTTGTAAAATTAATAATTCAAAATCTATAGATTAACTACCAGCAAGCTACATATTAACATTATTTACTTTTAAATATTACAAAATAATTTAAATCAAAAATAATTTTTATTTCTTTTAAGGAGATTAACGATCATACATAACTACAAATATTTTATGAAAATGTGAGGTTTTTAATTTATTTTCTTTTTCAAGTGCATAGGCTGAGACGTGCATATTTACTGAGCAAGGGAAACAAGAGAAGCACTTTAGTGCAAATTTTTGCACAACTGTGGTTTGGGCAAAGTAAAGTAACAACACCAGCACTTGGAACTTCCGTTTCCGGCAATTATTGTTGCTCTTTGTGGGGAAAAAAGCCCATTTCTCAAGGAATTTCGTGCCTCTCTGAATCTGAATACAAATTCAGCAAACAAAAATTTCGTGCGAGGGTTGGGCGATGAAATATTTTAAGGCGTTGAAGGTTTCAGTTGCATTTTCAAAAGTGTTTTCATTTGCAAAAAATTTTCCAAAAACCATTAAAAACACACAACACTAACCGCAGCGAACATAACTAAAAACCCAAATTGAAGCATTTTAATAAATACCTGAAACGACCGACTGAATTTTCCCTTTTTCGTGCTATGTCAACTTATTGGGTTTGTTAGTTGTTTCTGCTTTGATGCGTCCAATCAAAACTCAAATGCTTCAAAGCACTCCCCATTTTCTCGACCTTTTTTTTTTGGCACATTTCTGACATTTTCCTTGTTGTTTGCTCCCACTTCTCCTCCTTTTTCGATATGCTTCTCCTTACGAACTAAGATCTGTCCGCTGGATGAGTGGCCAGGGCTTGATTAATGGCCAACTTGTTATTTTAATTAAACGAATTCAACTTAATTTATGCAATTCATACGCATTTCATCATTTTGCACTTGTCATGCAGCAAGACTCACAAATTCGAGGAGATCAGGGGGACTGGAGTGAAATGTGGACCACAGACCAGCCACCAAAGTGGCGACACGAGACCAATCCAATCCCAAGCCTCAGCAGCTGTAGAAGTTTTGTGGTCTGTTAATGGCTCTCGGACAGTGGCGTTCCACGAACTGAAAAGGGGGATCCAAAAAAAATGCATCAAAGAAACCCAACACAATATTTTTTTAATTTTAATTTTTAATTTTTTAACAACTAGTACCTGGAATGATATGATATTATATGTTTTTATTATTGTCTATGAATAATAGTTTCAAGTAAGCAGAGACAACTTTAGTTATACTTTTGTTTAGGCGAGTTTTCCAACATTTATGGTTTTTAATAAATACTGGCATTAAAACCCTCTTCAGAGCGTTCTATACAATGACCTAAGCCCCTGGTCTGACAACTGACAACTCATTTAAGAATTACAAGAGCTATAGCGATAACCGACCGACAACCAGCCAAGGCAACAATGACAACAAGTTTGATGAGCAGTCAGCTTAGGAAACTGTCAACTCCCTGCTGCCAGTTCAGATACGAAGATATTTATGTTATACGTTCCGTAGGGTAGCTCGTCATGTAATTCGGGGGTCAATTATGCAAACTCCGTATGCAAATAGTTGGCCGGCATAATTAAGCGGATGGAGATAGGGGATAGAAGGAAGTGGGAATGATGATATGCTTGTGGCATTTAATTAAGGATTTACTCATTTTCCGATTTCCCACAGGTGAAAAGCACCAAGCATCGAAGCGTCATCGAGAAGCGAACCTTTGTGAATCACACCGAGTGCCATTGCATCGAGCGGTCGACATACAACGAGGACACGGCCATGGCCAACTACGGGCAGTCGGTGGTGCGGGCCACCATACTGAGTTGCACCTGTCCGAAGAGCTTCGAGAAGATCCTGCAGGATGACGGACAGTGCCGGTGCGACTGCAGTTCCGGAAATTACGACTGCGATTGGTTGAAAAGGGGCAACGAGCACTTTGCCATGAACGATCGCAAGTGAGTGGGCCTTAAACTCCCAGCTTTTTACAATCCCAATCCTGACCTTCGCCTACCCCCCAAACAAAACAGGTCCATACAGCAAGGTCGCTGCAAGCCGCCCACCTGTGAATTCGGCCCCTACATGGACAAACACGGTCGCTGTCCCAAGCAACACGAACAACCCGCCTATAATGCCATGTCATAAGCGAATTATCTCCCCGGAGAAGAGCAGAGAAAACCAGGAAAAGTATTATTCAGTCTGAGGCAAACTCAAAGGGAGACGAGAGGGGAAACTAGACACATTTTCCTTTCCTGACAAGAGTAAAAGCAAAAAGTGAGACGTGAATTTAGTTGCATATCCTATACAAAACAATACGAAAGTAAACCGAAAGGAAATCTATTTCTACAATAGGATGGGTCGATTATCAGGAAGGTTAAATATATTAAATTTCTGAAAATTTTAAGTTTTATAAAGATAAGTCTGCTCGAATGGCAGCTTGAACTAGCTCTATATAATGATATTGAATCAGAGAATAACCAAAATAAAGTTTTAAGTCAAAACATAATTTTACAAGAATATTGATTACACATTTTCTTCTCTCAAAAAAATCGACCCAGCCTAAGATACACATACTAACTACGTATTTGTATATCAGCTGATTGTGCATTAGATGTATTAAGACCACAACACTGTTTGTCCTCGATCCAATAAGCCATTTAAAATAGCGGCACACAAGGCAACCTTCATTCAAGAAAATATATATCTTTAGCAAAAGGAAATAAGACTTTTTTTGCGCATGTTTTACTCAATAAGAAACTGTAGCATTGTCTATAGACGTTTCAATATTCAAAACCCACAAATATACCAGAAAGAATTATGTGTATTTTATGCGTATGCTAAATGAAATTCCAAATATATAAATTGACTGCGTTTTTAGTTTTAATTGACTAATGTTATGTTATTTAATTATAATAAACACACGAAAACGAAAATTAAATATATAAACTACCTATAAACGAGCAAATATATTATTCATGTTATTTAAGCTAAGTTTTAACACAAATCAAACAAAACCAATCCCTGGAAAATCGCAACAAAAACAAAATTAAATTTTCATATTTAATTTCTAGTCAAATTTTAATTTTGTTTTTATACGGCCACAAATGTTTAATCGAATGTAAATTCCGCCATTGAACTCACTAAACAAAAGGCATTTAAAGCGGATAACACAAAATATAGGAATTAATCCATTAAATGTATAGCGAGATAAATGTATAAACCATATAAACGTAAACTAGCCCACAAACTCTCCTGCTTACTTCCTGCATTTGATAGTGACAACTAAAATATACCTAGGATATCTCAGTATCGCATAAGTTCATCGTGAGAGAAGTCGATCCCTACCCAAAATTCATTTTCATTTGCTTCGTGCACAATTTTTAGTTAAGTTCCGACACCAAGCACTGTATATATATTTTAGATAAAACCTACATTTAAGCGGCACCCAAAATCAAACCACTTGGCACGAATTATGGCACACAATTATTTATATGTGGAGGAAATAATTCGTGAATTGCATAACGCATTTGCATATTAATGACATTGGCCCGTTGCAAATTAATGAGCTCAATTATTAATTTCAAACGGAATTTGGGGATTTAATTATTGTGAATTTATTTACCATTTAGCCAGACACCAAAGGCCTCTTAATGGCCTGTGCCTCCCTTCTATTTACCCCATATAATTGCATGTTGGCCATAATTTAAGGGCGATCTATTTGCTCAAGGTAAACTATTTATTTTAATTCGCACCCCACTTTCAAGTAAGCATACGCATATAGAAAACGCAATCTCAATGCGACGTTTTGAATATTTCAATAAATCTGTGTAATTGTTAATAGAAGCTACCACAAGATACCAAGCAGAATATACGAAAGATTACATTTCAAAATGATTTTATTTACAACTTTTAGCATAAATTTTAATGTAAAAAACGAATGTAAGCGTTAAGCTGAAAAACAAACCAATACTAATAAAAGAAACATATTATTACTATGCAAAAATCCAAATAAATATGAAAGTGAACAAAAAAAATCCCAACAATAAGAAATTAATGATTTTCAATATCGAAGGGGGCTTTCGGAACGGACGAAGTGGTGTTAATTAGCAGACTGACGGTAAAGGAGTCGCTTTAATTATTGCCAGCAAGGGAAAGTAAACTGCGGGGAAAGCGAAAACTGCGGCTAATGAGCTGCTGGAAATTAAATTGGAAATGAAATAAAAATTTAACAAGTTGTCCACTAAATATAATATAATATAATATATATATCTAAACATAATTAAAATGTAGTTTTTATAACAGCAAATGTTCTAATTAGTCTACGAACTTTGGTTTCGCAACTAAAGCAGAATCAGTATTTTCCAAAAAAAATAAATTACTTACTTAAAATATCATCAGCAATCAGAACTCATTTTAAAAGTTTTGCCAATTGCTTTATTATTAGTTTATTACTTAGTTTATATCCTCTTAGCCTCGTTACAAACTAGCCGATTGCAACCTGCGTACCCATTCTGGAAGCCAATTTTGGGCTAATGACAGCGTCTAAGCTGAAAAGTTTGTACTAATGAAAATGCATAACAAATACTACAATGCCGTTTGACCCACTTGCCACCCATTCGCCACACACCTGCACCGTCACCCAGATGTAATTTTCCCACACACACAGACGCACATCGGGATGGGTGCTGGTCACATTATGATCTAAAATTTATAGAATTTATAAGTGGAGTGCACCCAGAAGGGCTAACGACGATGATAGCGCCACCTACCGACGGCGGACGCAACCACAGCGGAGAGAAGCTCATTTCGTTCCAACATTGTAGTTCTGCCGTTTTGGCTATTTCTGGCCAACAATCTGAAACACTTTCTATTATTTTCTTTTTAAATTATATTTTGAAATCTTTAGAACATAAAAATATTTTAATTTGTGGATAATATCCAACCTTAATCCACTGCATCTTTCAGTTTTAACAAATTAAATAAATACAAGTTTGTACTTCTTGAATCCGTGGTAATTGAATACACCGCTGACTGAGCTTACTTACCTTAATCCGAAATCTAAAATTCTCAAAAACCAATGGAATTTCGTGCTTCTGAATGAGGTATCTGCAGCTTCACCGCTTTGCGAACTTCCGGATTGAGCAATAGAAATAATCCGAAAATACCGAATGAACACTTATTAAACTGTTAATCTCTCATCGATATCCCTTATCGATAAGAAATAGCTATTTCCTGTTTTTGAAATGGTTTGTAAAAAACCCCATCGAGATGATTCGTCGGAAATTCCAACGTAACTAAAGAATTTGGCAGAAAAATATAAATTGCTAAATTCTGTGACACTTACGTTTTCCTTAGTTGTTCATAAGTATTTCCTGTTGAGTAATATTTTATAGCCGACGAATTCTTTCTTTTTTGTAGATTGGTTTTCGTACTCATATAATATATTTAGCTTTTTTGGCTAAAGTGACAGCACTAAGCTGGTGAATGGCAATGGGCGATAAAGCAAGGAACAGCTAAATGAAATCAATTAAAACGGCTATGAGTGCTGGCTGCCAGATAATTCCTCCAATGGGTTCGGGACCTTAAAGTGCTTTCCTCGAGGAGTCCCCCTTCCAAATCGAGCCATTCATCGATTTATACCAGCCAAGTGAAATCACACGGAAATGCAAACAACGCAGGGGCAGCAGCACAAAAAAAAACAAAGAAATTTCCCAACCGGCAACAAGCGATGGGTGGCAAGTGGGCGTGGCGAAGGGGCGGCTGCAAGTGGGCGTGGCAGAGGGAAATTGCAATGGCAAACAGCGGAAAGGAAAAGGATCAGGCAAAATGCACGGGCACGGGCTCACAAATTAAAACCGCACACGGAAAGGATGCAACTGTTTGAGGGCATCAGAAAAGCAGAGAGAAAGGGAGAGAAAGGAGTAGCCATGATATGCCTGCATAATTAATTTCCACCTCATATACACACACGCACACCCTCTGAAAATTTCAAGTGGGTGACATCCCTCCGTTTTCCCACCAGGAAACGCCAGCAAACGGAAAATGCCGCAGCGCTTAAATTGAAACTCTCCCTCATCCATGCACACAGCTACACCAACGCACTCACACACACAGAAATACACCCAAACAGATGCACAGACAGGTGAAGTTAACATTAAAAGCCGTCCGGCATTTAAGTCCTCGCTAAATTGCATTTAATTTCCTGCTGAAAACTTCCAACGCGATATGATCCGACATAATAATTATACGCCAAAAAGGTATGGGAAATTACTGCAATATGTATGTACTATATATGTATGCAAAATAGATTGTATAGACAATTTATAGCAGAATATTATTTAAACGATTCAGCTGGTTTTAATTTAACTGGTGGTTGGGTAAATTATATATTTATTGCACAAAAAAATCTTATAGTTATTGACTGAATTCTGGAACTTTTACTCGCGTAACAGTGAATTAAAATGTTACTCTAACGAAATCACTCATCCGCCCCTTTCACCTTTCTACCGCACTCTCCGTTTTTTATTTTCAAACAGATTTGTAAACCCATTCAGATTGCAAACACATGTGCCACTGTACGTTTTGGACTTATTTATGAATGCGCAAATTTTTTATATGCTTTCAGTTTTTATTACTTTTTGTTTCCCTTTGGCCAAAAGAAATTTTGCAAACATTTACAAAGAATTAAGCATTAATGCAATTTACAAATTTGCATTTATGCGCCGATTTTAATTGCACGGAAAAATCGTCTATGCGTAAATTGCCACTAACCGAAACTGATTTCAATTTTTTTCCAGCGAGCAGTTTTAATGGTAGTTAATTGTTGTTGTGGCCGCCTTTGATGGGCGAAACTTTATTTTTTGGCTAATTTAAGCGGGCTCATAAATAATTATGAACAATTTTAACCATTTTTACTCAATCGTTCGGCGTTAAAAGTGTTAAAGAGTCACGTAGGAATCGCACTCAATATTCAAAATATACATTTTATTACATTTTTCGTCACTATTATCTAGTTTTTAGCTTTCTTGTACAATAAAATAAGATTTTCACCTTGTTAACTTATAAATAGAATGGAATAGATAGAGAAATCTTTCCAAATAATATTCCATGTGGTTCTAAACGCAGGTTTTTTTTGGTTATTTGGATGAAAGTGATTTACCGAAACTACAGAGATACTTTGGAGATATAAGTATATTTTTCACAATTAGATAATTTTTTCCCACGAAACCCTAACAAACTTTACCCATACTTTCGTATTCAAGTGAAGAACTCTGTCACTCTCGACCTTGACTCATAGTCCCAAGCGCTCGGGGAGTGTGTGGGACTTAAGATCGTGCCGGGTTACTCAGCATTGACCTTAGGCCCATAAATACCATCGACCCCAGTGCCCAGGCACGCTTCACACATCAAAAGGCGCATTTAAAGCACCCGCACACAAAGGAAGAAGGAGCCTGGTCCGCGGTTATCCTCGCAACTCCTCCAAAGCCATTGATACAAAGGTGGGATGGGGAAAGGGCTCGTAAAAAATATTTACACATGCGCCAGAGCTCCAGCAGATACAAATGTATCTTGATATGCGGCATTATGATGGGTTACGCATGTGGGGCACGAACGAAAACAAGGAACGAGGTAAATTTCAGAGGATGAACCTGACTCAACGGAGGCAAAAAAGAAAAAAACCGAAACGAGTCAGAGATAAAAACGCAAAAGAACATTGAACGAATTTCATTAAAATGAGCAGTCGAGTACAGCCAAGGAAAAATGTGAGTTCAGCCCAATAAAAAAACACTTATTAGTTAGCCGTTAAGAAGGTACATTTTCCGTCTCATTCTGAATTATTAAGTAAACAAATTCCATTGACTTGTATATTAACATTTTGGCTGCTGTCTGGAATCCGAAAACAAAGAAATCGAAGTCCAACTCCCGA